AAAAACCTCTTTGGTACGTGTGTAGAGCTGACCAAAGATGGAACGGGAAGAATTCATCCCTTTTGTAGGAATAATCCACCAGTGAACACTACCCCAACGTGCTATTCAAATCTGCATACCGCGAAAAGAAAAGGAAAGAGCCACTCAAACAGGAGTTGCCATTTTTGTGAGTTGTTTGTATTAATCGTTATGTAGACAAATAGGCAATGAAGTTTAATCAGTCCAGCACATAAAACCATTTCCATCATCGCAACCGCGCCTCTTCTCATCTTTATTTATTTTTTTCACGTCAATTTTGTTTTACCCATCCTGTAAGCCTCTTTCACTGAAATGTTTTTCTTTTCTAAATCGATTTTTCTGGCATATTTACCTACACTTGTGATCATCTTTTCTTCCGCATCATACAGAGCACACATTTTTATTTTAGCGGCGTGTAAGTGCCCACATGTACCCGCGCAGTTAAAATTTTTCTTTTCTTTTTTTCCTCTTCATCATTTGATGTGCCACGCAGGGGCAAATGACCCATATTATGTGTACACTTGCATCTCTGACTGTATGCACATGTATGTATTTGGAAAATGATGCATTTGCATCTCCACTAGGACGAGTAAACATTATGCACACAATTTTTTTAGCAATCATGGTAGAACCGCTTAGGTAAAAGGTCTGTCTAATGTTAAAACAGAAGAAAAAAAAAAAAACGACATCAGTATGTACATCCACACATGAACGTGTAGGATGAATGACTCATTTGATGATCCTTCGCTGATTCGTCTTATAAACCTATACTCATTTCAATCCCTTTCATGTTTCTCATTTGGTTATACTTAGCTGGATATTTTGATGTAACTGTGTGTTGGTGACCTCGATGCTTTTTTTTTTTTTTTTTCATCACATGTGTAGTTATTGTATATAAAAATGCGAACGTTTCAACATGTGTGGTAACTTGGACGATTTTCGCTGCCCCCATGTGTTTTTTTTTTTTGCTTTTTTTTTTCTATGTACACCTGCTTGATTTCTTTCACAAGAGGAAGAGTTACCCTCAGGAGTACGTACATACGTCTGTTCACAGGTAAGTGGAGGTACTAATACCTACACACACATGTGCGACATACCGATTTGCTACCCTCCAAAGTGGGCACTTGCATATGCAACCACTCCGTTCGTGCAATGTGGTTTGTTTTCTTTTTTATCTGTAAAAATCAGTTTTCTTTTTACTTCTTTGTCCCCCCCAAAATGATTGCCAACGATTTAGTTATGTTTCACACATACGGCAAATTTTATTGACTCTCCTTTGTCATCTAAATTATTTGTTTTATTTCAATTTGTTTTAAATTTTTTTTCTTTTTTTTTTTTTCTATTGTCCTCCATTTGACTTTACTTTGTGGTTCATTTTTCGTATCATAATGCATTATTTGTAAATTTAAAAAAGAAAGAGGAGCAGGTCTTTCTGATTAAATTATTTTTCTCACGAGCTTCTCGCACAAGTAAATTAATTATTCTCTATCAAGTGAGGGCCGACAGATGAGCAAGCTGCGCTTGACATGATTTTGCCTATAAATCGCTTGCACCACTCCCTCTGTGATTGGTACCTTTTTGTGCGTCGGGGAAGCTCGAAAAGTGGGCATATATATATATGCACAGGTCTCTGCGCGAGTCCCGCTGCTGCGATGTGAGCGGAGAGCATAGAGAGAGCACTTGTACGCCTCCACTGTTCCATACACTTGTATTCGTACGCATGTGCACATATACACATGTGAACCTGCGCGCCGAACCTCTCCTCCCCATGGGTGACTACATTGCACAGGCCAACCACGTCGCCGGGACACACAGCTTGTAGATTCTCCACGTTGTCCATCGCGTTCGCTTTGCCCCACAGGGTGATGAACTGTTTCCCCCCCCTCCAGCGCCTTCCACTTTTTGGACAACTGCACCTGATTGTTCGTAAATTATTTGAAATATTTTTTCCTTCACTCTGGCCTGGCCACGCTTAGCTCCTCTCACGTTTTTTTTCACGTTTCAGTTGTGTTATTTTGCCCCTTTTTTTCTTGGCCTTCATTTTGCTTCCGCCCCTGTCGCAAACGATGAACGAAAAAAATCACAAACAGGCGCCCCAGGTGCAGTCAGAAACGCTTTCACTGATAAAGAAGCAATTTTTTAAAACCAAAATGTGCCCCTTCCAAAAAAATAAAAACTATTGTCTAAATGAGTCCAACTGTCATTACGCCCACAGCATTGACGAATTAAAGCCGATGCCTGACTTAAGGAACACCAAACTGTGTGATTATGTGAAGAAAAAAATTCCCTGTCGAGATGCAAACTGTAAGTTCGCCCACGATATTGACACGCTGAAGCCGAGCGTCCACTTGGCGACGTACAAATCAACTATATGCAGCTTCTGGGGAAAGGGGAAATGTTTTAATGGGAATAAATGTCGATTTGCACACGGAACGGAAGACATAAAAACGAATGAACAGATCGACCTGTTGCAAGGTTCAAAATGTAGCAAGAAAAATAAAAATAAAATGAAGAGCAATACCACTGATCTGAAGCAAGGAACTGCTTCTACCTACTCATTCGATACGTGTGATTATTCTGTTAATGGGTCGTCGAAAAATACAAACATGTCTTCTTCATACGAGAAAGATAGCGATGTCTTTATCTGCAGAAGAAACGTAATAAAAAATGAAAAAACGAAAATAAGGAGCAGAAAGAGAACACCCCATTTGGACAATGAAGTAACTACAAGGGGCACAAGAGACACAATAGACACAAGGGACACTCGAGACACAAATGACACTTTCGATAAGGATACGGCGGATGGAGATTTCCACCTTCCAGACAGCAGCAACGGAAATTCCATTAAAGACGTCCTCAGCAAAATTGAGAATCTGGCCCTGTCGACCTTTATAGAAAATAATGACAAGTACACGAAAGTTATTAAGTACCTTTTGAACGAAAATAACCTCCTTAAGGAGTCCATTAAGAAGGACCAGAGTGTCACCCTGTTGGAGAGGGGATTCCCGGGCGGTTTGAATCAAGGAGACACGAAGCACCGCGGTGCCAACGAGGGTGGCATGGATGGAAGGTGCACAGACGAACGATGCGCAGAGAAGCCATATGAACAGCAGCCATATGCAGAGAAGTCATATGCAGAGCAACCATATGCAGACAAGCAATATGCAGGTGAACGCTTCCCCACTTATCGTTTCGCTACGCAAGGGCTCATGACCCAACGCTTCTCCAGCCCCAGCAGCAACGAAACCCACTTTGGCTACCCCTCCACCGTCGCAGTAGCAGCGGCAGCCATCAACCGTAACCTCAACGGTGACGACGACCTGACCAAGTACGTCATTCCAGAAGATGCCACAGACAATTACCTATTCACAAATGATAAGAGAAACCAGAAGCATGCCATATCCAATTTTGATGACGGGATCAAGGCAGACGACAACCTTAAAAGCATAATCAAAACCATAGATGACATTCTCATTTCGCAAAATGTAGGACCATTTTCCATCGTGAAAGATATGAACATTCCCCACGAAATCAGAGATGCCTTTTCTGTTAATAAAAGTGGAGAGCTAACTAACAAAGAGTATGAAAACTTGATGAACAACGCGAAGTCATTCGAAACGGAGAGAAGTGTATACAATCACAATATTAACTTGAGTAACGTGGCACATAATGGCAAACATATAGCAAGCGGAGAAGTCGAGGAAGAGGTGCCAAACCAACCGTTTGAGGAATGCATAGTAGATTATCTTTCGCAAGGAAGGAGGAAAAGGAACTGCTATGAGGAGAAATCTCGAGGAGCGCAACAGTCATCCATTTCGTATGGAGTCTCCATCGGAGGAGGCATCGACAGTGACGGCATACACAATGTGAACAGCAGCGCTAGCAACACGGGTTTCAAAAATCAGATACTCGAATTAGACGAACTCGATTCCTCGAAAATTTTCAACCCGTTCGTTTTTCACCATAATGAATACAAGAGCCAGGAGGTGGGGCCAAACCAGCCTCACAAGATGCCACAAATGCAGCGCATCAGCCAGGACGGCTTTGGCAAAAAGGAGGAGATAAACACGTGGAAGGATGACACTGTTCTGTTCAGGAATGACCACATGGCTAGCTTCGTTGGGAACAACGAGAGGGACGGAGGCTTCAGCGGCGTCAACCATATGATAGGCGTTGCAAGTGATGACGCGGGCAATGGTTATGCCTCCAGTGGGTATGCTCCCAACGGGTATGCCGCCAATGGGAATGCCGCCAATGGGAATGCCTCCAATGGGTATCCCCCCAACGTGTTTTCCGCCAATCCATTTGCAACCAACGTATTCGCATCGAGCGACTGGGCCAGAGCATTTCCAACAATCGATCGCTTCGGACGCAGAGGCTATGGAAAGAGCGACCTGTTTCTCCCCTCAGGTCATGGAAAAAATGTAAACAGCGCAAAAGAGACCATTCCGAGTGTGGCCACTTCGAGCGTGAGCACATCAAATGTGAGCACATCAATCCTGACCACTTCAAACGTGGCAACCCCACACCAGATACAGAAAAAAACAACGAGAAGCGTCACCATGGGGAAGGAAAAAAATGCCAAGCTGAATTTGCGAGAAGGCGCTGAACTGAACGAGAGCGGCATGAACGTGGACAGAAATTTCCCATTCAGCAATGACAAATCGGACTTTATCAAAAAAATAGAATGCTTAATATCGAAGGAGTTACAGTACAGCGAAACGGAAAACACACACTCTAGCGTAAAAAATGGGAACCACATGAACTGGTGTAGTGAAAATAATTATCCGTTTAAGAAGAACACCCAGCTAAGTGACTCGTTACCATCAGCATCGAACTACAACACGTCCATTCCAGATATACACAATCTCACTTTTCTATACAACAATAATCTAGAGAGCAATAACAACAGATGGTTTGATGAGGTGAACCGTGGGAACAGCGTCGGTGTCAAGAATGGAGAGGTAACGGATGAATATGGATCTGTGCCACTAAATATGGACTTTTCTACTTATAAAAAGGAAGGAAATAATGAACAGAACATTTGGAACGCAAATGCTAACTTGAACGAATTTGTCTACCCGATGATGTCCCACGGGTGGATGAACGAGCAGAACAGCAGCGACTTCTTTGGCGTCTCCAAGTCCGTCAATTTGAGCAGCCTCAACTAAGCCGCAGAGGAGCGGTCATGGGGAAACCGCTCCGACGAAGTAGTTACAGCAGCGGGGGTAGCGATACATCCATACATATATAAAACCCATACGTGCAGAATGCACGCCCGTGAAACCCACATTGCAGAAACTGTTTTTACCAAACGAACCGTTTACAAGTGTCCATACAGATGGTCGCGCACCCATCAGACCGCTTTAGTGCCCTCAGCTAGATACAGACCTGCGGTGTGCATACACCTATATGCGTCACACATATGACTCCTTCCCCATTGGTGCGAACACAATTCTTTACGACTCTCCACAACGAAAATGCCAACTCACACAAATGAAAGGTAATTCCGACGGTTGGCCCTGCCTTGATGTGGATGTTGTCCCATGCACATAGGCTTTATTTTAAGCCGATTATTTTGTTCCCTTTCTTAATTTTGTTTATTTCTTCCTACTGTTTTGCAATTTTGTTGCTTTTCCTTTTGGCTAATTTTTATTTTGCAAATTTATTTTTTTTTTCTTTTTTTCTTGTCGCTCTTTTCCTGTGTGTGTGCTTATCATCACGAGAAGCAGACAACTCATGGCTGCTGTTATGGAGAGTTTCTTCAGCGCAATTAAATTATTTTGAAGAAAATTTTATCTAGCTCAAATTTGAGATGCATTTTTTTTTTTTTTTTTTTTTTTTTTTTTTTTTTTTTTTAATAAAAAAATTACATCAATGCAATT